CTTCCATGACGGCCCCGGAGGCCCCCAAGAAGGTCCAGGAGGGCCCCAAGTCGCCAAACGGTCGCTCGAAGACGCCCAAGATGGCCTCCAGATGGACCAAGAAGCCTTCAAGACGCCCCAAGAGGCCTCTAAGAGGCCTCCCAAGAGGGTCCCAAGAGGCAAACATGATTGATTATCCATAGGTTGTTGCGGATCTTTGCGCTATCAGCTGTTCGGCTTTCTGACGTTCCAAGACGGCCCAAGAGGCCCCCAAGACCAAAAAACTGCCCAAGAGGCATCCAACTGGGCCCCAAGACGGCCTCAGAGCGCCCCAGGAAGGCCCAAGAGAGCCCCAAGGGGCAGGAGCACGAACCAAGAGCCTTCCGCACCCCTAAGAGGCCCCACGAGGCCCCTAAGATACCCCTAAAAGACCCCAAGAAGCCCCCCAGAGCCCCAAAAGGAACCCACAAGGCCCCCAAACAGCCACCAAAGAAGCTTCAGCACTGCCTCCAAGAGGCCCCCTAGGAGGCCTCCCACAAGATCCCAGCGAACATCCAATGTGCATCATGCCCACAACCCAGGCACGGTGGCGGGGCTTGCCGTAGGCAGCTGCACATTATTTATTTATTTATGTATTCATTTATGTATTTATTTATGTATTTTTTATGTATGTATTTATTTATTTATATATGTGTATATATATATAGATGTGTGTGTGCGTATACATATAAATATGTAGATGTATGTGTACACATGTATAATCTGTAGATACCCCCAATACATACTTCGACGAAAAAACATTTGGGGTAAAGAATTTCTCCAATCAATCCCCTACTTGATCCTTGGCGGAAGGCCATCGCGGGCAACGGATGCGCCACCCGAGCTGTGCGGATTCAGGGTCTCCGGCTGCGCGGCAACACTCACTCATTCGAGCTCGTCCCCCCTCTCATCCATGTCTCTGCTGTCCCCTCCCCAACAATGCCTCCTTCCCCCTTCCTCTTCCTCGCGTCTTATCCCTCTTCCTCCCCTTTCTGCCTTCTGCGCCCCCTAGTCTTCCCCCCACGCCCTCTCCTCCGTCCTATCCTCATCCTCTCTGTTTATTCCCTCGTCGCCCTCATCCTCTGCACGCTTGCTCTCCTCGACCTCGTCCCTGGCCTCCTCTCCCCGCAATGTCGACAGACCAAGGAAGTCCGCCTGAGCCCGCGCGGGAATTCCGCGTAACTCCGCGGGGTCGCGTGCCAGCAGGCATCTTGGACGTTCATGCCGGGCTCGTATGCGCCCTCCTTCAGTTTGGCGAGGAGGGCGTCGATGCCTCGGCAACGAGCCAAAACGCGCACCGCCATCCACCGCCGAGCACTTCGAATCTAATCGCACTTTCCGTCATCTGACATCCCGTGTGGACCTCTACGAATCCTTTCAAGACCGACGCGACGTCCGCCGCGCGACTCTGTAGACCGCCCATTAATTGACCAGTGGGGCTTCTGCAGTTGTTGGCATTGCCTACACGCTGGCGCGCCTTGGAGATAGCCCGCCCCCCTCGAAAACGGGGAGGACCCGCCCAAGGCAGCGCCGAGACAACCGCTGGACCCGACCACACTGAACGGGACCTGGGACACACAAAGAAATACTCACAAATAGAAGGATTCCCCTTATTTGTTTCTCCATATTTTGGGGTTTTCGTCTCCCCCCCCACTGGCCATATTTTCTTATATTTTCTGGGGAATCAACGATTAATCGTGTCTGTGTTTGTTCCCCCTCCTGACACACAGCTCCCACAGGAGGCACCTCCCCAGCGCGCTGCACTGTGCCGCCACATGGCCGAATACCTCCCCCCCCCCCTTAGCGAGCCTGTTGCCTCTCCGCCTCTTCCCTCCCTCCGGCTCCTGCCGCCCAGCCCCTCCCCTGCTCGACCCTCCCCCCCCAAACCCCTCCTCCCGCTCGACAGTTACTCCAGATTTCGTAATAAAAGGGAGGGGGTCTGGACCCTCCAAAACAAGCCATTTGAGACCTCCCCCGTGGGAGAACCCTCCAAAACATCGTCCCCAGACCCCCCAGGCCCCACAAGATAGCCTGGAAGAGAACCCCCCCAGAAATGAGACCCCCCTCTCTTTATTACGAAATCTGGAGTACCGAACGACCACTCAATAGACTGCTCTCGTGTCACCTCCCAAGATGGCCAGGAAATGGCGCGACCCCCTTTCCGCGATAGTTGTGGACACAGGGGACTTCAAGCGTTGACCTTTCCTCTGGCGCTGTCCGATGCGGACGTCTCCGGTGTCTCAAACCGGCGTTGCCGCTGTAGCTTTGACCTCGTTCAAAGTCGGCGCCGTGGTTCCATCGTTTAGAATTGCGTTCTCCTCTCCCATCTACCGCCTTGCCCTGGTCATCATGATCCTCCCGCGTCTCCCACTTCTGCTTCGGATGCATCTGTGCTGACACGCTTCTACGCGACCACCATGACAAGCAACGGCGCACACGCGAGCCACTATTGGGTCACTGGTGCGGTAGTGGAGGAGACGAGCACCGCAATGTCCCACCCCAAATCGACGGCAATCCGCAGCCGCCCATCGCGAAGCGGCGACCGCGCGCACCCCGTGCCGCGGAGATGGCTTTGGTGCCGGGTGAGGCTTCCCAGCTGCTGCAGAAGACGCGACAGCTGCGGCCCGTGCTGTCCGCCGAAATTAAATGCACGGCGCTGAGCACTGGTGCCGCCACGGGCTCCGTATTGCGTTGCTTTCGCCGCCTTTGCAGCAGTCGCTCCAGCATCGGCGGTCGCCGAATGGCCGCGGCGGATGTGTGTGTGTGTGTGTGTGCTGGCGACTGTGACGTCACCGTGGAAGCCCCAGAGCTGGAGGTCCACGCGCGTTTCGCGCATGGTTGTGGTGGCCAGATCTGGAAGCACGACCTGAAGTGTAGCTGCAAGGCCTGCTGTGCGAGAGCACGTCGCGAGCTCGTCGCAGACTCCATCGTGCAGACGGTTGTGGGCCCTGACAGTCACGCGAAAGACCGCGTGCTCTCCATGCTGGTCGAGTGCGTGGCCACAGACCCTACCAACACGCGCACGTTGCTGGAAGAGGCATGCACTGCCAAAGAGCGGAAGCCGAAGGCACCAACGGACATTGCGGAGCTCATCGTCCGACAAAGGAGCCGTATCTCTGGTGGCAATGGACCGCCTCCAGACAACCAATGCTTCCGCTGCCCAGGCGTCTCTGCATAGACTACGGTATCAGCCGCTCGAAGCATCCATAATTCACGGCGGTGTCGCAGCGCGACGCCTACAGCTACGGCATGCTCGAATGGAAACGTGTGGGCACCTGCTTGCGCGTCAGGCCCCGCCTGGGGCATTCCCGACGTGTCGAGGAAGACTCCGCTCGCAGCTAACCGACCAACGCAATCCTTGGCAGCAGCGAGAATGCCGGAGCGCTCATACCCCTCGTCGATTTCGGTTAGCTGCAAGACAAGGGCAAGCTGCCGAGATGATTTGGGAAGCATTCTAAAGAGCGTGGCGAGATACGAAAAATAAGGCTCGAAAACGATGGGTCGAAATGCTATGACGCCATGGCCGAGCGGCGCCGTCAGAGTACGAAGACTGGCCTGTCACTGCGGGTCCGTGCAAGCAGCCCGCAAGAAAGCTGCTCGGACAAAAATCACCGACCGCGTTATCCAGACGACGTCCGTACGGCAATAATGTTGCCGGCTGCTGCTGCTGCTGCAGCTGCTGCTGTTCCACCTCGTCTTCTCAGTCCTCCTCCTCCTCCTCCTCCTCTTTCTCGTGCTCCTCCTCCTGCACATCCGCCACCTCTTCCTCCTCCTCCTCCGCTGTACGCAGCGCCCCCCGTATGTTTGCCCATGCAGAACTTGGCTTCTCTGGGAGGTTCCAAGCCGACGCGGGCCGTGACGCAGTGGGGAGCGCTGGGTGGGAGGGGTCGGATGCCAAATCTGGCGCGAGCGCACCTCGCTGCTCCTCCCTTCCCCGGAGGACGTCCTGCGAACGGCGTCCCCCCTCCGCGTAGTCCCATCTATGTATATATGTATACACACATACATACAGGTGTGCATACATACATATGTATGTATATACATATAAATATACATATATATATAGACATACACATATACATATACATATAGATATATTATTATTCTTACACACCGGGTCGTGACCGTGACGAGTTGATGCCTGTCGCGCCTTTCCCGTCTGAACGTCCTCGGTCCGTCCGAGATGGTGTTCCCGCTGCAGCGTGTGGCCTCAGAGGAAGATCGGGGCGTTTCCCCCGTCGTTCAGGACGGCGCTCTCGTCCCAGCGCGGGCCCCTCATCTGGATCCGAATCATTCCTCGTTGTTGTTGTTGTTGCCCTTCCTTTCCCCTCCTCCGCCTTCCCCTGATGTTCCTGCTGCCCCTGCTCCTTCCATGCCATTTCCTTATGCTACCGCTGTTCCTCCTTGCCCTCCTCACTCTTCATCCTTCTGTCCCTCCGGTTCATTCTCCTGCTTATCGGCAATCTGCCCTCTTTCCAATTGCGCACGGCACGATGGCTCTGGGGGGAAGGGTTCCAGATCCGCCATGACACGCGTCCGCAGATGTAGATAGAGGGCCACATGCGAACCCTACCCCTACCCCCCACGATTTCCGAAGGGGGAGGGTTGGGTCTCGCTTCGTTCGGGAGCTCCCGAGCGACGTGACCCCCACCCTCCCCCTCGGAACTCGTGGGGGGTAGGGGTAGGGTTCGCATGTGGCCCCCATGGTAGAACACACGAACACGACGGGAAGGGCAGGGTGGGAGGGTGGCACGGGAAGGATGACAGATGTGGCGCGAGCGCACCCCAGCGTGACCCACTCCCTCGGTCCGCCCTCGCACCCCCGCCCGCTTCCAAGCTTCCTCCTCGCCGCCTGCCCTCCTCCTCCTCCTCCTCCTCCTCCTCCTCCTCCTCCTCCTCGGCCCCCGCACCCCTCCTCCTCGGCCATCCGCCCTTCTATATTGCGGGGGGGGGGGGGGGAGGGTAGCAGTCTCGCGAGCCGCCTTCGACCCTGCGGGCGGGAAACGGCTCGAGGTCGGTGAACAAGTCGTAGGGGTCGTCGAGCCCGAGGACTCCCGCCACCAATCTCGCAGCCAGGGGGGGGGGGCAGGAGCATCTCCTGCCGGTCGTCTTCTCCCCCCTCGCTCGCTCACTCGCGCGCCTGAGGGGATGGAGTTCGCACTCCAACACGCTGGAAGGAGACGATACCTATAGGGGAGCAGGGTGGAGTCCTCCACCACGACCTTATCAAGCATGCAGCGTGAGCAGAGGAGGAGGAGGAGGAGGAGGAAGAAGAAGAAGCTCCCCTGTTTCATCCGTATCAGCATCAGCATCAGCTGCAACATCCGCATTAGCATCAGCATCAACATCTTCATCACTATTAGCACCATCATCCGCCTCAACACCAGCTTCACCACGATCACCGCCACCACCACCGCCGTCACCATCACAGTCACCATTACCCTCCTCCTCCTCCTCCTCCTCCTCCTCACCCTTCTCCTGCTCCTCCTCCTACAACTCCTGCTCCTTCTGCTCCTCCTGCTCCTCCTCCTCCATCTCCTCCTCCTCCTCCTTCTCCTCCTCCTCCTACCCCTCATCATCATCATCATCATCATCATCATCATCATCATCATCATCATCATCATCATCATCATCATCACCACCACCACCACCACCACCACCACCATCATCATCATCATCATCATCATCAGCATCATCATCATCATCATCATCAGCATCATCATCATCAGCATCGTCATCATAAACAACATCATCATCATCATACTCATGTTCATCAACATACTCATCATCATCACCATCACCATCACCATCACCATCACCATCACCATTAGCACCACCACCACCACAACCACCAGCACCATCATCCTCATCACATCATCACCATCACATCATCATCATCATCATCATCATCATCATCATCATCAGCATCGTCATCGTCATCATCATCATCGTCATCATCATCATCATCATCATCATCATCATCATCATCATCATCATCATTTCAAACATAATAGTCATCATCATAATCATCAGCATCGTCATCATCATCGTCATCATCATCACCATCATTATCATCATCAGCAACATCATCAGCAGTCCCCTCCCTTCCCCGATCATGCTGCCGCTGCCCCCACTTCTCCACACCCCGTGCTGGCGGACACGCGGCCTCTCAATGTCCTCTCCGTGGGTGTTGTCGAAGTGTTTCTCGTTGCACGCTTTGTACCCCACGATGCCGCCGAAGTTCATCTGCGGGACACCGCTCTTCTTTCAAAGTGAAACATACTGTACACAGTTTCGACTTCGGGCCCCAAGCGCCGGCAAGTTGCAAGAAAATTGCTCGAAGACAGCCGCACAGAAGAGGACGGAGAGGGCGAACGTAAAGTTGAATGCGCAGGGTGATCCATGAAGGCTCAAACTGAGAAGACAGCACGCCAGGAAAACCAGGAACGCAGCGTGCGCCGACCTCTGATAGGCAAACACACGCAAGGAACCTCTTCGGCCCTCCAATCGGCTCTGTTCGGCCCTCCAATCTCGTCTGCGGGACACCGCTCTGTCTAGCCCTCTCTTCGGCTGCACGCAAGAGTGACCCCGGGCGACCGTTTCTTCTGCTAGGTGGCGACATCCGGACCCTGTTTCCACCTAACATCGATTCTCCTGCATCGGTGGGAGGCGGAGTAGGGTTCGGCTTTCGCTACGTGTTCGACGAATTCCGAATTCGACCCCCGCCACTCATCGAGCTGCGTGCATCCGTTGATCGGCGAGGGTAGGGTTCGGACCTCACCGTCACAAAACAACTCGGGATGAAGGGTCGGGGCATCCAGGGGCGCCGTCAAAATCAGGACGTCTCATGTATGGGATTGGTACGTGCACCCCTGGCAGTGCAGCCACCCTGGCAGCCACAGCCTTGCATGGACGCTGTGTGTGCGCTTTCTGCCCCTGGCCCTGGCATCCACACTCAGTGCAGCTTGCAGCTCACTTGAGGCGCCGCTTAGGCAGCTTGGGCTGTTTAGGTGCGCGGCTCTAGCTTGCTCCTGTTATCAATCAGTAGGCCCGCGCCCCGGACTTACGACTCGCCGCTTGCGCTCTCGCCTGCGGCCGCGACCAAACAAAATATGGGATTGGTACCGAAGGGCCGCGGGTCTGCGAAGGCCTGCCGGTCGGCCTCGCCGCGGCACCCCCGAGGCCGCGCGCCAGAGACCCCGCTGGCGCGGGGTTTCACCGACGCCCTGCGGGCCGCAGCGATGCCACGAGAGCGTGGGCCAAGACCGGAGGACGTCCACGGATTTTTTGGGCGTGGGAACGGCACGCCTTCCATCGCGAAGCCATCGAAGCCGAAGAACACCAGGGCACCCCAGGAGGAGGAGGAGGAGGAGGAGGAGGAGGAGGAGGACGACGAGGAGGAGGACGAGGAGGAGGAGGAGGAGGAGGAGGAGGGGGAGGCGAGCGGGGTGCCCCTCGGCCTGGGCTGCCGCTGCAAGGAGGGCCCCCCCCCCTCCGACGAGGGAGGCCGCTCCTGGCCCCCCCGCGCCAGCCGTGCTCTGTGCGCTCGCCGGGGCCCTCCGCCCGCCCGCCGAGCGGCCCTGTGGCCGGAGAGGGTGCGAGAGAGAGAGGGGGAGGGGGGACCCTTCCGGACACCCCCCCTTGCTGGGGAGCGGCTAAGACGGGGGGGGGCGAAGAGGGGGGGCCCTTGCGGCTGAGAGGGGGGAGGCGAAGAGGGGGGGAGGCATGCGATGGCTCGAGGCGGGTGCTGCGCACAGCTCGCAGGGATGCGCACGCGCGAGCGCAGTCGGACGTCCTGGAAGCCCGCCTGCCGCCAGAATCATCGGCTCAGAACCAAGGCCAGCCAGCCCTATGGCGGCCCCAGCCGCAAGCAGCGCGAATGCACGCGAGCGCAGTCTGCGCTCGGCGATGGGGGGTGCCGATGGGGGGGTCGCCGAGCGCAGGCTGCGATCGCCCCCCCCCCCCCCCCCCACCGACGTTCGGGCGGGTGGTACATGGGTGGTCCCCACATGGGTGGTGAAGGAAAGGGCCCCCAAGGGGCCCGTGAGGGCCCCTTTTGGAGCCAGCTGGTGCCAAAAAGGGCCCCTGAAGGGCCCCTTTCAGGGCGTGTTTCATGTGAGTCTCCCCCCATTGCCACCCGCCCGACCCCCCCCCCAAAAGGAACTCCCCGGCAGACGGGTGAAATCCCTGACAGGGAGCTCGATCTCCAGAAGTCACTCCCAACGGCTGTCGACGCATTCGAGCGTGTGCTTAGCGCTGATGTGAAGAGATGGCTGTGTTCAGCTTCTTGGCTGGGCCCTCCGAGAGGCCTCGTGGGCCTTCCGAGAGGCCGCTTGGGCCTTCCGAGAAGCCTGTGGGGCCTTCCGAAAGGCCCATGGGCACTTCGCGAGGCATGTTGAACCGTCCGAGACGCCTCTCGGGCCTTCCGAGGGGCTTTCCGAGAGGCCTCTTGGGCGTCCCGAGAAGTCTCTTGGGCCTCCCGAGAGGCCTCCTGGGCGTCCCGAGAGGCCCCTTGAGAATTCCTGGCGAAGGGGCACGATGAGGATGATAATGGGGATGGTGATGATGATATTGAGAATGGCAAGGGTGAGAATCACAGCGCAATGTGGGATGATCACGCGAACAATACGGGATGGTGGTAGGATGCAGGGAGAGAGGGAGGGACGGTGCGGCAATTCCCGTCCATTGGGCGGGCCGTGAAGCATACCTTCCCAATTATACGTATATACATATATATATACACATATATATAGAGATAGACTAGAACCTAAGCGCGCTTCGCGCGCGCTTAGGTTCTAGCGCAGGCCAGGGAAGAATTACAACATATTGGGATCCTCCACCCTGTTCTCCGCCTCCAAGCGGCCTCCAAGACGGCCCCAAGAAGCACCGAAGAGGTCGGAAGTGAGGGAGTGAGATCGCAGTGGAACGGAGAGCCCCCCACCAGGAAATGGGTTTCGGTTTCGGGTTCGTGTCGTGCGTGCGGGCGAGGCGAAGCTGCGTGGGCGGGCGAGAAGAATAGTTCCGCTGTGGCTAGGGCGGGTCAAGAGCCGTTGACCGCCCCATCCACCTGGTGGTCCAGCGTTGGCCAAGGTTGTCCCGCCGTCGTGTCCCGGCGGTTTCCCGTCGGTGTCCCAGTGGTGTCCCGGAAGGGGCTCGTATGGGCCCTCGAAGGCCGTCCCGGAGCGCTATTGGGCAGACTTGGGAGGCCGGGGCCGTCTTGGGGCTCTCTCGGGGCCCTGTTGGGCCCTGCTGGGGGTCTCCTGTGGCTCGCGCAGGGCTCTCTTGGGAGCCTTTTGGGCCCTTTGAGGCCGCTCTTGGGCCGTCATGGGGCTCTCTTCTCTTGGGCCGTTTTGGGGCCCTCTTGGGGCCTCCGGGGCCGACTTGGGAGGATCTAGGGGGCTTCTTGGGACGTCTTGGACGCTCTCGAGATCAAACAAGCGAATATGCTAAAAATGTATGTTTTCCGGAGGGAATGTGCCGATTTTTGCTTCGTGGGGGTCCTCGTTGGGGCCTCTTGGGGCGTTTTCGGGGCCTCTTGGGCCGTCTTGAAACCATCTAGGGCACTGGGAAGTCATCTTGACCAGTCCTGGGGGCCCTTTGTGGCGCTTTCGGGTGCTCTTGGCAACCTCTTGGGCAGTCTGAAGCCATCGTGGGCGCTCTTGGAGCGTCTCAAGGGCTGCCTTGAGCGGCCGGGGAGCGGCCGAGGAGGCCCCAGGGGGGGGTGGACCCAGATTGGGGGTTCGAGGCCGTGGTTTCCGGGCCCGGATTTCCTTCCCCGGGTGTATATATATATATATATATATATATATGTGTATATATATATATATATATAATATATATATATATATATATATTCTCACAGAGAGGTGTGCAAACGCGACGCCAAATCCTGAGTTCAGGAACCTCGTCGCAAGAGGAGGAGGGTGAGGACGAGGAAAAGGATGAGGATACTGCTTTGGTGAAGAGGAGGGGGGAAGGAGGAGGAGGAGGCTGGTGATGCTCAGAATGATGATTATCATGGCGGTGCTGGTAGTGACTGTGATGGTGATGATGATTCATATCTAGTGGCCTTCTACCTATCTCGACGTTGTGCCCAGGTTGTGGGTCAGAAGTCTCTTGGATGCCTGCTGGGGTCTCGTGGAAAGCTTCGGGGAAGCCTCTTGGAGGCACTTCCGAATTTTGCTGGAGTCTCTTAGGGCCCGTTCGGAAGCCGTTCGGGCGCTCTTTTGGGCCTCTGGGAAGCGTCTCGGGGCCTTCTGGGGGCCTTTGCGAGGCCCGCCGGCACTCTCGGGGATCCTCTTGGGCCCTCCTGAGCGCCTGTTGGGCAGTGCTGGGGCCCTTTTGGGCCCACCTCGAGGGCCTCGCAGGCCGTCTTGGAGCGATCTTTGGGGACCTTCGGGCTGTCTTGGACGGTATGATGGCCGACAAGGCGAACATGCAACACATGTGCTATATATATACACACATAAATATGTCTGTATACATATATGTATGCGTAACACTTGCCTTCGTCAGTCCAGATACCGTCGTTCAATAGTTGGCTGCAGCAGCGTGTCATCGGTTCAAACTGCCCCTGAAAGCTTGGCCCTCCGTGTGCTGATAGCCTGACACGGGTCCACATTATTACATTATTACGCCAACAATATCCGCGTGAACTGGAGCCGCAGAGACACTGTATCTTTACCATGGTATGCAAGGATGCACCAGTAAGGTTTAATCACGTTGTTTCAATCAGCTTGCTGTGGGCAGCAATTGCTGGAGTCCAGCTCAAGCCACGCACACAGCGTTTAGGGGGCCCTTTTGGAGACATCTTGGCAGTACCTGTGACGTCAACATGGTACACAATAGATGTGCGGCTGCAAATGGTTGCACAACAAAGGCTTCAACGGGAATCCTGTACGAATAGTTCTTATTGTTTTACTGGAGCCCAAATCGGACTCCAATTGGGTTTGAATTGGAACCCACATCGGAAGGGAAATCCTGTTGTATCCCATAGAACCCACTAGGAACCCACAAGGATCCAATAGGCTTTGTTCTGGGCTGCACTAGGATTCCTGGATGACCTGAAGGAATAGGAACCCAATGGGAAGGACTCTTGAGGATTCCAAGAGGAATCCCTGAAGCAAACCAATAGGACTCCAATTCGAAGAAACCTTCGCGTTCCAATAGTATTCCGAATGGATGCCAATTATAATCGCATCCATTCGGAATGCTATTGGAATGCGCGCAGCACGCGCCACGACCGCGACGACGCCGTTGACAACGACGACGACGGCGGAGACGAGGCGCGCAGACGATCCGCACCGAAGCACGGATTTTTGAAAGGGCCCGCCCTGCCGCTTTCGGTTGCTCCGAGAGAGGGGGTGGGGGAGGAGAAGAGGGCCCATGGGAGGTCAGGCTGACGCAACGGAGGCAACCTCTCGAGTATTGCCGACACGCACGCACGGTCGTGTGCCCTGGCCTTTCGCCGGGCGCGCTTCGCCTCGAGCGCGCCCAGTTCAAGATGCTTGGGAGAAAAGGAAAGCGCAAGGGAACAGGAAGGGGTTGGAGGGAGTGAGGGTGGACGGATGAAGAGCGGATGGGGCGATGCGAAAACGACCCGACGGCCTGATGCTTAGCCGCGAACGCCATCAACGCGACGATATTGTGCATCCGGGAGCCGAAGCCGTCGGCGGTCTCTTGCATCCACAACTTCGGCGCCTCCCACTGACCTCTTCCTACGCCTGCTTCCTCTTACTCGTCGTCGTCGTCCTCCTCCTCCTCCTCCTCCTCCTCCTCCTCCCCATCATCAGTATAAGTCACCTCTCCCTTCTCCTTTCCTCTCGTCAGGAAGCCTCTGCAGCCGCCGCCTCTTCCTCCTCCTCCTCCTCCTCCTCAATCCCTTCCTTTCCCTGCCATTACTGCTGTTACCGCTATGCTTCCAAAACCATCATGACATTTGTACTGATATGTTGCCCCTCTCACTGTACTTTTCATTTGGAGCTAATGTTGCGTGCTACGTTGCCCTTCGCGTGTCTGGCAACAATCTTCCGCAGCGAGTGGAGTGGCGCAATCATCTGTCAGTTTTGTGTGTGCAGCTTAGTGCAGGGATGTATGTCTGCAAATCTTGCTTGTACGCAATGCAGACATGTGTGAATGCAAATGCAGAAATGCAATTAATGCGCATGAGCCCAGGTCTGTGCTTACACATGCAGACGTGTATTTATGTGAGGATTCCTCCCTTAGATCATCCGAAGGCGATCCCTGAGAACCCTTAACGGACCCTCGGGGAATCTCAAGGGAAAGGAAGGCTAGAAGGGCGAGGAGGGGAGAAGGATGAGGAGGACAAGGAGGGAGAGCGAGGAGGGCGAGGAGGGGAAGGACGAAGAGAGGGAGGGCGAGGGGGAGGGCAATGAGGGGAGCGTGAGGCGGGCGAGGAGGGCGAGCGAGGAGGAGGGCGAGAAGGGGAGGGTCGAGGAGGGCGAGGAGGGCGAGGAGGGGCGGTCGAGGAGGAGGGCGAGGAGGGCGAGGAGGAGGGCGAGAAGGGGAGGGTCGAGGAGGGGGAGGAATAGTCTTATTGCCCGCCGAGAGCCCAAGTGAGGGGCATCATCCAAGACCTTCTGTGGTTAGTCAGGTCCGATACAATCCAAAAATCCCCCTCCACGCTCCGCCTCATCGAGCCTCTGCCTCTTCTCTCCCCCCCCGGAGCCGCACGACGCCCAGCTCCGGAGCCCAACGCCATTGCGCAACACCACGCGGTGGGTATCCTCTTTCCCTCTCCCTGCTCCTCCTTCGTCGGCCCTCCTCCTCACGGCGTCGCTCACCGTGACGTCCGCCTCGCTGGCGACATCGGCGCGGCGGTCAAGGCGAAGGCCAACGGCGGCGGCGAGCTGGTCACGGGGGCCGAGCCGAAGCAGGACATCGGCATCGTGCAGCTCGACGGCGAGACGGTCAAGCTCCGCGCCACGGTCGCAAGGCTCGAGTCCGAGCTGGCGGCCGCGCGCGTGGACCTGGCGCAGCAGAAGAAGCTGGCTAAGGAACACATTATCATGTCCTCGGAGGCGGTCGGCGGCGACTCGGCCGAGGGCGTCGCACAGCTGCACACGTACTTGCGGGTCCCGTTCGTGGAGGGCCTGAGCTACCCGAAGGAGGAGACGGGGGTGCGCGCTCAGTGCCTCGCGGCCCTCCTCGCGCACGGCAGCGCCGGCCTCCCCCCGGTGCAGTGCGAACGCATCGCTTGCCAGCCCGACTTCGACAACGTCAAGCGCTACCTCGCGAGCTGGTCGTGATGAGTGCTGCCCGAGGCGGGCCGTCGGCGCTCTAGTGGCTCTGGCTGGTTCCGCCTCGAAATTTTTGGTCGGCGCCCCCCCGCGGCGTGTTTTGCGGGGGTGGCGCCTCGGGCTGGGGCTCCCGCGGGTGCGCGTTCCCGTGTCCCCTTCTGGGGGCCTCTGGGGGCCGTTTGTTTGCCCGTTCGTCCCCGCGGGGGTGGCTTCCGTTCCCCTGGCCTGCCTTTGCGGTAGGCCAGGGTCGCGACGGATGCCTGTTTGGGCTTGTTCGGGGCCCCCCTCGTCGCCACGTCCGGCTGCGCCGCGCTCGCGGCGGCGAGGGACTCACCGAGCGAGGAACTTCTGGCGGCCCTGGCCGTCGTCTCCGCTAGCGTTGACGGCGGCCAGGGCTTCCTTTGAAGCTGCGCCCACCCATCCTCCCTCTCCTCCTCCTCCTCCTCCTCCTCCTCCCCCCCCCCTCCCCCGAAGCCGCACGTCACCCCGCTCCCGAGGCCTCCGCCGCGACGCACGCCTCCCCGACGCGCAGCACCACGCGGCGGATCTCTCGCGCCAGCGACCACTCTGGGCCGCTCGTGCCGCTCGCGGCCGCCGTCGCGGGAGGCACCCCTGCGGAGCGCGATGGTCCTCCGTGTTGCGTTCGGCAAGCTTAGACCGACTGGCATCGTCGTGGCGTCAGGGTGCGCAAGAGAGCGCAGCGTCCAACAGATCGGGGAGGGACATAAGTCCCTTCAGCAACACGCGGCTTAGCGAAAACGGCCTCGGGCCCAAAGCTGGCGGGCGCATGCCTGGAAAACGATGGCGGCGACGCCCTCTCGAGAACCGAAAACGGACAATCCACTAATCGACGTGTCAGGGTGGGGAGTCTGCCCACCCCCGAATTGAGGCGAAGTGAAAACAAACCCAAAAACGAGCTCGGCGCGCGCCGAGGAGAAGACGGGCACAGAGCATGTCACATGCAAGGCAGCCCCGCGAGGGCGCACGGTGCGCGTGCAGAGGTTCGCGAAACGATTTCCATGCCATCCTCCTCCCCTCCTCCTCTGTCAGTCCTCTTCGAACTACTTGTGGGCAAGACGCATGAGCATGTCCACTGAATCTTGTAATTTGGAGCTCCCTTCCCCAGACACCGAGCGCAGTGGATATGGATAAGCATCTGGCCCCTAGGGACTAGATGTTTCATCCATCTCCACTGTGCCCCTGCCTTTTGGTGCCCTTTTCCTGCAAGTCCAAGGCACAAAGGATATGGATAAACGTCTGGCCCACACTCGTGCGAACACCGTGCGCGAAGATGCTGTTCTGGCAGCCCGAAGAGCAGGAAAAACACCAACAACACGGTCTTGCATACCTTAGTGAAACAAGCGGGTTCCACTACTCGCAAAGTAACTACTCGCAAACGGCCTGGATCTGCCATGACAACTTTACGATACATTACATCGATGCAGACATTTGCGAGTACGTTTGCAAGTACGGACGTTTGCGAGTACGACAGGCTCGTGTCGTGCCGACTGGGGCGTCGGTTTCTGACACCGAGGGGATCGCTCGACCTTGAACGATCGGCCGCTTCCGAACCAACAGATCGTTCAACATCGACCGACTCTGGGTCGCCGACGGCGTTCAGGGTTGAACGCCAGCGGCGGGGTCGCCGCTGGTCGACACGACGCGAACCTACCGCAGGCACTTCGCGAGTCGTGGATCGCGCTCGGTGATCAGTGTATTTCTGGCCATCGATCGGACGTCCATTCCCTGTGCTTTGTTCGGTTTCGCGCGTGGGTTTTTCGCAAGATGATCCACTGGCCATCGCTCGGACGTTCATTTCCTGTGCTTTTTTCGGTTTCGCGCGTGGGTTGTTCGCAAGATGATCCAGGATGCTCCTTAATCATCCCCGACGAGAATTAACGGGGAAAAACGGTATAACATAAACTTTCAAGCCGCCCTGGGGCAGGAGCCCCCGACAGCGAACAAAAATATGTTATACCGTTCTTCGCTCGCTGAGAGAAACAATGCACACGTCCGAGCGGCACCAAGACTCGTCACAAGGGGGCGTGACCGTCCAGGCCGGACACGCAGCCGCGCCCAGCCGCTCCGCTGGAAAGCACCGCCCAGTGCAGACACACTGCGAGGACGCCTGGGACGCGACCGCCGCCAGACGGGCTCCGTGCCGGGCGGCCTCGGCCCCTCCCCCCTCCCTCCCTCCCGCGGGAAGCTACTCCTGGCTTGCTTCCCGGCCACCCTGTGGAGTTGGGTCTTGGTCTTGGCAAGCACGACGGCCCGCGTCTTCTCTCCTCGCCTCTTCCTCCTCATCCTCCTCCCTTCTCCTCCCATCCCTGCCTCTGCCCTCTGCGTGTCCTCCTCGCCATCGCCATCACGATCATGAGGTCTGGCATCATCATCATCATCATCATCATCATCATCAGCATCATCATCATCATCATCATCATCATCATCATCATCACCATCATCATCATCATCAGCATCATCACCATCACCATCACCATCACCATCACCATCATCATCATCATCATCATCATCATCATCATCATCATCATCATCATCATCATCGTCATCACAGTCGCCATCGTAGTCGGCATCATCATCGTCGCCAACGCGGTCACCACCATGCTCCGAATTCTCATTCGAATGTCGGCAGAACCCCCTCACGCGCTCCATGGCCCCATGGGGAGCTCCACCGCAGGCGCCAGCGGCGGAGTCCGCATGCGGCACCCACTCCAGGGCAGCACGCCCCCCCGCGTGTCTCGTGGCCCCGTGGGAGCTTCCGGCGAGGGCGCCAAAGGGCAAGGCCCGCCTGTGGTGCCTGCTCGATTCCGGCAAGCCCCTCGTGCGATTCGTGGCCCCGTCCGGGGGCTCCACAGGAGGCCCCAGAGGCAAAGTCCGCCTGCGGCACCCGCCAAATGTCGGTACACACCTGGCACGTTTCCAATTCGTGGTCCCACAAGGATGTCCGCCCAGAGCCCCCGCAGATGGGTCCGCATTTGCGGTGCGCGCCCCAATTCGGCACACCTTCCTGGGCTCCTAGGGGGTCCTACGGGGTGTGGGGTTGCACGGTGCGCAACTGTCGCCACTGTCGTGGGCTCCTGGGAGGTCCCGCGGAGTGGAATTTTACAGGCATCCAGTTGGGACCTCGTGGCTCCCTCGGGGAATGCGAACTGCGCAACTGTCGCCACTTCCGTGGGCTCCTGGGAGGTCCCGCAAAGTGGAGTTGTACGGGCACCCAGTTGGGACCTCGCGGCTCCCTCGGGAGCTACGAAGTGCGCAACTGTCGCCACTTCCGTGGGCTCCTGGGAGGTCCCGCGGAGTGGGGGGACACGGGCATCCAGTTGGGACCTCGCGGCTCCCTGGGGGGATGCGAAGTGCAAAACTATCGCCACTTTCGTGGGCGGTGGGGGGACACGGGCATCCAGTTGGGACCTCGCGGCTCCCTGGGGGGTTGCGAAGTGTGAATGTGTATCATTTTCGTGGGCTCCTGGGAGGTCCAGCGCAATCGGTCGTCACGCGGACCCCGTCGAGACCTCGCGGGCTCGCAATTGTCGCCACTGTCGTGAGCTCCGGGGAGATCCAGCGGTGTGGGGGGGTCCAGCGGACCCAGCCGAGACCTCGCGGCTCCCTGTGGGCTGGCACCTGCGAGGCGGGGCGGAGTGGGGTGCCACGCACGCCTCGCAGAGACCTCGCGGCTCCCTGGAGGGCTCGCAACTGCGCAGCAGGCGCTACTTTCGGGGGCTCGTGGCAAGCGGGGCGGAGTGGGGTGCCACGCACGCAGACTCCGCCGAGACCTCGCGGCTCCCGGGGGGGCGGGGCAGCGCGCAACTGTGGCCACTTCCATGGGCTCCTGGGAGGTCCAGCGGTGTGGAGGCGTATGTGCGCAGACCCAGACGTTACCCCCGTACTTACTCCCGCTGCCGTGCTCTTCTGACTTCTCTTCTGGGTGCTCATGCGCACTGCGGGTCCTTCAACCTGTCGGTTTGTCTTGCACGATCGTGTGTGTAGAGGGTACGTCGCCAGGTCATTTTCGGACACTTGCTAGTAGTATGCGCTTGGCGAGTAGCGCATCGCGCTCGGTGGCGCACGATCGCCACGCAAGGGCAGCTGAGCAGCACCTTCAGGGCAGCCTGGCGCGTCCCCGAGCCGCCCGCCGCTTCGGCGGTGACCCCAGCTTTCCCGGGTGACGCGGGGCAGGCCCCACCCCCACCAGACTAGCGCGACCCGCAGCTTGGCCCCGAGGCCGAGCCGACGTCCAGCACAACACGAGAGTGCCCCTCCTCCTCCTCCTCCTCCTCCTCCTCCTCCTCCTCCACGACGCCTCCTATGCTGTTCGTTTACCTCGTTGATAGACTGCTACCGGGACCGAAGTCAACAAGCATTTCCTTCAGATGCTTGGCACATGCGGCCAGCAGAAAAGCTGCCACCGCGAAACTGCCCTCTGACAGAGTGCGACTGCACGCCTCCAAGTCGGAATCCATACTGGCAGAGCAGTGATGTCCACAATCTCCATCGCCACCCGACACATACTACGTTTCGGGCCCCCTCCCCCGTGCTCCCCCGTGCTCCCCTGTGGAGGCGGCCGGGGGGTCCGAAGTGGCTGGGATCTCAGCAAATCGGCCAGGATCGGGGGGATGAAGCAACATCTGCTCAACATCGATCCCCCAACGGATGAGGGCTTCGCGGCCCCGGGACCCAGAAACGGCCCCCCGGAGGCCGGAAGAGGCCAAACACCTTTCCAGACCCAGAGCCTCGAACCTCCCCGCCCTCCCTGCTGGCCGAAACCCGCGCTGGGCCCACCTCGGGCCCCCAGCCAGCCCCAACCTCCCCGCTCCGGCTCCCGCAAATCCCCGCCCCCCCCCCTTCCCCTCCCCCCTCCCCCCGGCCTGCTTGCCGCGGAGGGTGCACGGGATGCACTTCTCCAGCACCGCATGATCCCGGCGGCGGGCCCGGCTGCATCCTCCGACGGGCGGGGGGGAAGGAGCACGGTTCGCAGAGCGGCGGTCGAGAATCCAGGCTCGATCGAGGGAGGATCGAGGTCGCCCGTCTTGGCACGGTCTGGCCCTGGGTTCACGGAGGCCTCTGGAATGCAACCCGCGTCGCCCGCGGGCATCCGCGGAGGGCTAGGGAGGCCTCCGGGCATACTGCACCCTGGCGATTAACAAAACAAGTAGCGCCACGACTTGCTCGCCTCGGCTGACGAGCGAACAACCCACACTCATTCCAACAGGGGGACGGACGAAGCCGTGTGTGCGCGTTGTCGAATATGGGGGTCCCCGCTTGAACGGGAGCCTCCCCAGGGGTCCGACAACCCGCACCCATGCCCACAGCCAGACCTCCTCCCTCCGACCTCTCTATGGGAATGGGTGTGCGTTGTTCGTTCGTCCAATAGCAGGCCGTTGTATTCTCGGCTGCTGAATGCGCAGTCTGTGGCGTAACCCGCAGCTGACGCAACCTATGCCGCAACCCATGGGGCAGCCCATGAATGGCGCAACCGTGCAACCCACCCATCGCGAGACTCATGGATGACACATCTCGTTGATCGCACAGCTTATGGCACAACCCACGGATGGCCGAATCCATGGAGCAACGCACGGATGGCGCAAGCGCACACTACAGCATGATACGGCGGCAACGACTGTACTCGACCATCATAGACTGTAAAGGTTGCTGAGGAACGCCATGCCATAGCGTAGCATAACATAGTATCATGAGCAGGGGCGGCATGACGTAACCAACACCTCTGAATGTAACTGGTGTACTACTGCTAACGCTACGGCGACGACCATGTTACAAAACCATGGGGTATGGCATAACTGAGAAGGTATGCCGTATGCTGAACAGCGTATGTCATAACATGTTGGACATAGTATAGCGTGCCACTTCATGGCGTAACATAACGCAATCGCACAACATAGCATAACACCTTATCTCATGACAGAGCCGAACACAGCATGGTAGACATGAATACGATATAATAAATCACTACGGACGACGAACATAGCATGATCGACAACGCCTTATATAACGTAAGGCGACGCGCGCGCCGAATCCACGATGGCCACAGAAACAAACAGGCGGAACAACGACCGATTGGAATATGCATCTAACGTGACAAGCGTCATGACGTCACGCCGGCCAGTCGAGTACACAACATAACATGGCACTGCGCAACATACATGCACATGAATGAAAATCGAGGAATACTCTTGCACAGCAGCGACCGTTACACTGCGCCCTTTCGTGACCAGCATCCACGCCGACGTAAGTCTGGCCTCAGGACAACACAGGCGCAACGAAGCTCGATTCAAGGACATGTCAAACGTGACGGGCATCACGACGTCACGCCGTCCCGTCGAGAGCAGAACAAACCAGATGTGCACGGAACACTACATAACAAAACGTCACAGAGTCCAATACACGGCAAAGACCGAGCACTGCAGTCCTATCAACCGTTCCATGCGCGACGAGTCCACGCTGGCCACAAAAACACACGATCGCAACAACGACCGATTAGACAACATGTCAAACGTGACAGGTATCATGACATCACGCCGGCCCGAAGAGAACACAACATACCATAACACCTTATAACATACTAGAGCATGTGCACACATCAACGACCGATTAATTGCGCCCTGTCGTGAGCAGCATTCACGCCGACGTGAGGCTGGCCACGGGACAAACGCAGGCGCAGCAACGACCGATTGGACGTCACGCCGCCCCGTAGAGAGCAGAGCAGAACAAGCCATGTGTGCACAGAACAGAATAGGACCGAACAGAACGTGATAGAGTGGAACGCAGCAGCGACCGAACAGTGGCGTCCCATCAAACAAGACTTGCGCGCCGAGCTCAGGCTGGCCACAACAACACGCAGCACCAGACTCGGGACCCAAAGCCGAAGGCTCCGGTGGGCATCGCTCGAGGACGCACCCCGGCGCGGCGAACAGCAGCACACGTCTCCCTGGCAGCGTGCCGCCAAGACAGGGCTCTCGCAGGGGGCACACAACAAAGGACGACTGACGAGCCCCAAAAGGGGGGACGGGGAGCCCCGGACCGCCGCCACCCACTGTCGCTCGGCCTGGCCACCGCTTTGCCTGCGACGCCCGCGCACTGCACTCGGGAATCGGCTTCCCGCCTCCATGCCGGCAACATGTCACGGCGTGACAGCCACGACAACTTTTAGACATTTACGCTTCGGTGCACGTGGCCGTGCTCTCGACCCTGTCCCCATATCGCCGGCCTCTTCCACCTCCTCTTCCTCCTCCTCCTCCGCTGCTTCTAGGTTGCTTTGCTGGTGGAATGCAAAACTTGTCCGCCGTCGGGGCTGTCCCAAGGTGCCTAGAGCGGTCATGACCCTGCGTGCCGTGCGATCGAAGGGGTGTAAACTTTCCAGCCCCGCAGGGGCGGCCCCCCCCCCCCCCGATGGCGAACAGGTTCACGTTCTACCGTGCTTCGTTCGTTACGAACCTCTTGGGCACTCGACTCTTTCTCACCTCTTGCTGCCCGCGCGGAAGACCGCTTCAGGATCGGAGAGACTCCCAGCCCAAATCCCCGAGAGCGGTAACCTGAAATGGTCAACACGAGTCGGCTTCAAGAAAGTCCGCTCTTGAGTCCTCCATCGCCCACTCATCAGACCGCCCGCTTATCCACATGACCGAGGCCTCTCAGAGGCACGCAGAGTCAGCAAAACACGACTTCAGCCAGGACGTGCTTCCAGCGAGCACCTGGACGGTCCTCATCCCCTCTGTCACCACCACCACGCTCCTCCTGCTCCCCCGGCGTCGCCGCCTCCTCCTCCTCCTCCTCCTCCTCCGACGACGACGACGACGACGACGACGATGACGACGACGACGACGATGCCGACGCCGACGATCTTCCGCCTTGGCTGCGCACGGAGCGCCCCCTGCAGGCCTTCTGGGCTGGCCCCTGACAGGACCTCGTGCGGCAGAGCCTGCAGCGGCCTCGACAAGCAGCGCCACTCCACGGGGCGCTCCGCGCCCCGTAGGTGAGGTCGGGCATGTGAACCCTACGGGCGGAGTTCGGACGAACCAATAAAACAGTCAAACAAATAGTGAAGACATATTCAAAGTGGTCAACAGATCGTCCCCAGACTATGTTTTGACTATTGTTGAATATTCCCCTGTAGAGGGACAGGCCCGACTTAGTCCTAAGGGGGGCTGTCTATGCGCACGCCCTGTGATGCTCAATACGTGGTCCCCCAGAACTGCCGACCTCTTCCCCCGGGCCAGCTTTTCATCCCACCCCGAGAGTGACCCCCTGACGGCGCCAGGGCCGACAAACCAGCCTCCAAGCGCCGCAGAATGGAGCACAAACCTCCGCTTGGAGCCTCCATGTTCAAGGCCTCTGGCATTCAGGAGACGAGTCCTGAGGGAAGCAGGTCCTGGGACCTGAGGCCTCTCCCTTGGACCAACTCTACATCCTGAGAAAATGTGTAAGAGGGCAGAAAATCCACCCCCGTAATAATCGCCCCGGAAAGCGAAGCCTTTTAGTAAACGCATCCAGGGTAGGAATCGAACAGGGCAGGGCTGTTTCGTAAACGCCCAAGGCCGTTTCAGCAAGCGTCAATTGTCGGATCCGGGTGGTTGTTCCTCCTCTGCTGTGTGATGGTCCCGGGGCCCGTGGAAGGCCCCCGGAGCCCCACAGACAACGATTAACTCCAGGACCCCCTTCCCTCAGGTCGGGCGTGTCCCCCTACAGGAGGATTTGGGACGAGAAAAAGAAGATATCCAAACAATAATCCAAACTTGTCAAAGATGGTCAAAACATCGTCCCCAGACTATATTTTTACCATTATTGACTATGCCCCCAGTAGAGGGGCACGCCCGACGAAACCCTGCCCTACGAGCACATCCGCCGATCTGCTCGTTTTTTCACTGCGCCGCCCCAGAGGTCCCCACTACGTTCGGCGGTGGACAAACCTCCCTTTAGTAGACCTCCCCTTAGTGAAAACGGCCTGGGACCGAAACCGACGGACCTGGACCCGCAAGAATGACGGCCGCGACGCCCTCTCGCGAACCGAAAACGGCCAATTCCTTAATCGACGTGTCAGGGTAGGAGGTCTGTCCACCCCCGACACGTCCCCCCGGGGGGCCAGCTCTGCGCCCCGGGCCCCTGCTCTTGCAGGCCTTGGGGGGGTCCGAGCACGCCCCCCCCCCCCCCAAGGCCGAGATCCGGGCAGAAGAGCGCCTGGATTTGAAGGGGCCCCAGGACACACAAATAAATACACACAAATAAAATGATTCCCCATGTCTTCCCATAATTTCCGGGCTCTTGTCTTCCCGCCCAATTCCCATATTTCCTATATTTTCCTGGGACTCGACGAATTAATTGTGTCTGTGGGTCTTTTTTCCCTCCTGAGGATTGAGCCATCGAGGTCGTCGGCAGTGTGGGCCTGCTCCGTGGCGAAAGGGGCTCTGGAGGTCTGGCGGTGCCTCCTCGAGGGGGGGCGTCCAGGGGGGAAAAAAACTCAGGGGGGGGGGGCAAGCATCGACCCGGACTCGGCGGTGCATCGCCGACAGATCGGCGATTAGCCCCCCGATGGCAGATCAGCGCGCTTCTGAGCGGGGTGTGCTGTCGGTCCCCCATCGGTAATGGATGGGCGATTGGGAACCACTGCATCGACAGTAGGGGCCCGACCGCAAGAAACCTTCCACAAGAAACCCGACCCTGAGACCCCAGGAAGTCCATGGACTGTTGCGGTGGGAGCGTCGCGCTTTCCATCGCAAAACCATCGAAACCCAAAGGACCCAGGGCAGCAGGGAGGCACGCAGGGTGTTTTTTGGCATTGGTCTCCGCTGTATCCCTCCTCAACGTTTTACCAGCCTGGAACATATCCCTATCCCCATGCTGGGCACCTCCTCATCACGATGCCAATCTTAGGGATTGCCCCATTTTTTGATGGCGAATCCCTAAGATTGTCATCGCCTTTTGGCGTGT